AAAATGACTTTATCGTTGCTTTTAAACTTGTAAATGATATTTTCGCTTTACTTTGTAACACATTTTTGTCCGGGGCTAGAGCGGGCAGCTGACTTGCTCCCCTCTCCAAGATGCCTGAATTTAAAATCCTAATAGAGTAGAAATATCAGTGAACAAGATGAAGTATTGGTGCGTCTTTAAAAAAATAAGGAGCGGCTTATTTTTGTAACAGTTATACACTTACGGTATTTAGAATCGAAAACTATAAAGGTGTCTATATTTGCCTTAAATAAATAATGTAAGTGTATCATTCATATCATCAAATATATCAGCATTTTCTCATTGGTTCCACTTTTTCACTAATGAGTACTTTTATAAAAAGAACTACTGTATTAAAAAAAAGACAATTTAAGAGTTTTTTTTTTTTTTAAAATAATAGATTAGGGCATATGTTCGCTTCATTGATGTACACATTTATTCTCAGGAGGTCGGGGTGTCAGTGCCCCTCCTGGGAGATGCCTAAAAAAACAACAACACTGGTTTACATTGACTTAAAGATCATTGTTTAAAGTCATGTTGTGCCCTCTACTCCATTTATAATATTTTATCTTTTATTTACATATATATTTTTGTGTGTGTGTACATTTCTATTTAGTCCATGGAAGTATTTTTGTGAATTTTATTCATTGTGAATGTCTCACCATGTCCAACCCACTCATGGTAATTTTTTTTTTTTTTATTTCTCCTGTTCATGTCACTGATGTTCTCTATATTAAATCAATTAGTTTTCTATTTCTACTTACTGGTACCGTATTTTAAAACCACAAAATAAAATTAAAAATAACATTTTGAATAGAAAATAAAAAAAAAAAGATAGTTCTTGTAAATTGTTATTCTCCAAAACATTCTCCAAATGTTTGCAAATTTTGCCTATCAAAGTAAAGTATTGTGAGGCTTTATATTCTATGACTATGTGCTGGTGACAAGTTAAAAAAAATTAATTTAATTTACATACCAATGAAACATACGATTTAAAATGGTTGGCCCCATGGTAAAAAACCTGGCAGACTTCCAAATAGAAGCTGTCTATTTTATTTTTTAAATTTAAATCTACATGATTTAGATGTCTGTATTATTTTTCTCTATCTTCTTCTTCTATATCTTAAGGGCCCACGATCAATTTATTGATCATTTTGCATTTTAGATGGGATTTGCAATGTAATATGGACTATCAGTAATATGGACTCTAAATATTTTGGGCCTCCAAAATGTATTAAATTTTTTTAATTTATTTCCCTGACAACAGACAGACACCACATTAATAATATTATTATACACTCTTTTATAACATAATACATCCCCCATTGGATGCATAACAAAATCAAATTATATTGTCACTAATTTTGTACAAGTTTTAGACTAGAATCAAACGATATTTAATTCATTTGAATTTAAAATTATAATTTAATACTAAATGAATACCGTACTCACAATGTATGTTAGATTGATTGATTTTTTTATTCTGTTATCATTACTTAAGAACATGGTTTAGAAGTCAGATTTCTACAGTTCTGTTTCAAATATTACAGATTTTTATTTTATTTACAGGGTATTTCATTTTAACTGTAGGCCACTTCTAAAGTTCTACAGGGTTCAGCAGGTTAGCATATTTTCCCTTGCTTTGATTTTGTATGTGGAAAAAAGGCTCTTTGTCCTACGTAAAAGTAAAACTTATTATATATTATTATGTTTATCTTTCAAGAGACGTCTCCTTTTCTGTTCCTTAATACTTGTTGAAAAAAATGAACATAATAAAAGTTTCATCCTGCTTTCTACTTTACTTATAATGTGCCATTGTTTTCTTTTCATGACACACCCCTGTATATGCCAGACAGGAGCTGAACTCTATAATGATGACACATTGATGCAAGTATTACAATCCATAAAACTGATTTTCTAACCACTGCCATATTTATTTAGCTCCTTGAACACATTTTAATTTTGGGCATCCGTGTTCAAGCCATGTTTGAAATTCTCGCAAACAATCAAGTACCAGGTACCAACATTATACTTAGTTTAAATTTGTTCATTTTATCACTTCAAAAAATTAGGGCACATCTGCTAATCCTTACTGGAGTAATTTCATGTGAAAAGAGTAAGAGATTGGTGGTGAGACAGTATTTGCTTGACCTCTAATCACATCCACTTTCATTTTGAAAAAATAAACCTGTAAAATGAAAACATATAACAGGTAGGAACCTTTGCTTTCCTTTCCTTATACCCGTATCTGTTACGACAGTTTCAACAAAATAAACGAAAAGGATTGGAGCGAAAATATGCGACAATTTATTTCCAAGCACATTTTTAAAATGTAATTGCATTTGCATTAACATTTATATCTTGCAATAGCTCTCCCACATTTATTTTCCTAATCAAACCAAAACAATTCCTGTTTAATAAATATTTCTACATTCCATACAGTTGATAGTTTTCCCATGACAGCTGCAAACAAAGTAAAGTCAAATAACACCAATAGAACTAAGCTTAAGACCACTATCTTTAGATAGCAGCAATAAAATAAAATGCTGGTGCAGCTCCCTAAACATTTTTTAGAAATTCTGTAACAGACATTGGCCTACAAATCTTGAAAACAAGAAATATAAATTCTTGCTACTGCACTGAGTTAAACATTAAGAAACACCAGGCTGTAAAATAAGTAAATTATGGTAATAGAATACATTTTATAAAGAGATGCCAACCTTCAATAAGCAGTAAATGATTTTGCTCATTCAGTATATGTAGACACAGACCTTTATTTCAATGAAAAATATTTCATTAACTTACAGAGTTGCAAACAAAAACTATTACTTTGTCATTACATTTCATGAAATATTAAAATTAATATTATCAAAATGTGTACCTATATTTCTGAAGAATAAAATGAAAGTAATCTGTACCAAAATCCCAAGATGCTACTATCATTCATTTTTATAAAAATCTACCCAGAAAAGCATATCACTAACCAACATTACTGATCCTGTTTATTTAGTTAATTCAATAAAATTTGCACAATTTATAAAGAATCATGGTAGGACACAGCTGGTGAGGCTGTAGTCAACTTCAACAACTAAATTCCATCAATATTTATGCACCAATAATAAGGACATTATAATTATATAACAGTGAATACCAGTTATGTATACCATTAGTCAGAGAGATATTTCATTGCTCCAAGATATTTTAAACAGGAATCTTATGTTTCAAAAAATTATCAAAATCTAAATGAAAGTCATCAGCTCTACCTTAAACTAAGTAGATATGGAAGTTTAGCTTAAACTTAAATATAAATAAATTTATTTAAATTCTAATTCTATGAAGTTGATTAATGTTTACACAAAACAACATTCTCCTTATTATTTTATTCCCATGCTCAACAACTCTTACCATCCAACTTCAAAATATACATATTTACAATTATAATAGGTACCCAAGACGCCAAAGACATTTTTCTTAAGCTAGTACTAATAGTACAGACAACTTTGAATAGGTTTGCATTTAAACACAAATCTATTGATCTAACATTTACTGAATTAAAATCCACAAAACTAGGACATGTTATTTTACTCTTGAAAACAATTTGTCTTTACAGCTTAGGTTTTAGATTTATTGACCGCACAAAACGCCGCAGCTGACCAACAATATATCGTTAATGAACCATAAAACACAGACCGGTCCTTTTCAGCTAAACAGAAATGAAAAAAGGGGTGCATGATCAAAGATAAACTAGGAGCTTTGATGAGATGAAGTTTGAAGAAAATGACTTTTACAATAATTGTGTTTCGCTCTGAAAATTAATGATCCCTTTTAACACTTTCAGCACCAAAGCCTGACATGGTGCATTACTTTCAGAACCAAGGCAATTTTGTAATTAATGATAGAAAAACCACATATGAATAATATTCCAGCTTTTTTTCAGATTCTTAATCATTGTATGTTGATACTATCATCCATATTCATCTATTTTATACATCTATTTTGTAAATTGTGCTCAGAACTGCCAATAAGTAGATTTGAACCAAAAATTTACTTTTAAATTACCAAACAAGCATTCAAAACATCTATTAAGGTCTAGGATGGAAGTAAAAAAATTATATTTCAATTTTGAAGTAAAAAAAGAAATGAAACTCAAATAATTTTAATGTTTCTTTTTTATTGTTTAACTTTTCAGAGTTGTAAAGTGCCTTGTAGTTGAAGGAATTGATCATCAACGCCACATTGTTGCTAAAAGTGTTAAGACTTGGGAAACTTATAATTTCTGTTTTACTTTGTTATAAAACAAGTAATCAGCTAATTCACTCACATGACACCAGAAATACATAATGAAATAATACTTTGACATGAATTTTTTTTAACTACATCAGAACAAACTTGAAGAAAAGCAGTTATTGAAGGGGGGTTGCCCTGTTAAAAGACACTAAGTATAATGAAGTGGGATAAAAATTTATTTAAAACAAAGCAATACCAATTTCAGTAGAAAGACTAAAGAAGGCTAATTCACAGAGGCTTAATTTTCTGACTACTTCATTATACTTTGTTCCCTTAATTTTTTGGGTACAGTATATTCATCCTATAGTATTTACCACTAGGAATACAAAATTTTATTATAGTTATTCTGTTCCATAAACTACTCATACAATTTTTAATATAATAATTTTGCTTTAACACCATGAAAGAAATAGCCTACCAAAGATACTTTTTAAAGACTACAAAAAGCTCACAGCAAATATGGAAACCTTGGCGACTTAGACAGTAAAGTCATCTCCAATCAAGCCTTGCACAGGTTGTCTTTACTAACGTCTGTTGAAGAAAAAGTAGCATAAAATATAAATCAAATTAAAATAACATTCCACACCAGTAAAAGTGGTAAAAAAAAAAGAAAGAAAAGGAAAACAGAACCATTAATTCATATGTGCGCATATGGAACTTAAGCACTGTTACCTTTGTCTTTGGTTAATTGTTCTGATTAACATATTTTTAAATTATTCCCTTTTATCTTAATTAAATTAGTATCATGTGATATTGCTCAGTGACAATGTCAAGCAACAATTCCCTATAGATTGACCACATCGCATTAGCCATTCAACCCTAAATCAAACCTCGACCGTTTGGAGCCGGAGACTGGAGATCGTGACCTTGACTTTGAGATGCTTGATTTTTCTCGATGGCCTCTTTTTAAATCCCGGTCTCTAGACCTATTAAAAAATAATTTATCAAATAAAGAACAAGTTCATGTTTCATGCTATTTACAGTACAAAATACTGCACCCTTGTAAAACTAACAAAATATACAATGGATGACACTCATATTTTAAAAAGATAAAGCAAGAAAAGGGCACCTTCAGTGGTCTACTGTCTGCTTACAAATAAGACCAAAATTATATTATTTTTGTCATTTCATTGAAAAGTAATGGTTTAAAACTTACCTAAAGAAAGAAATGTTAAATATCAATTAACTCAAAAGTTTGTTATATTTTTCTTCTTTATTGCAAAGAAGTAAGGCTAAAACAAATTTTTTTAAAACAGCATTTACTTTATATAAAATTATACGTCATTAAAGATCATTTAGAAAGTTGAAGTTCTATTGTACCGGAATGTAGTTTTAAGTCAAATCGACATATGCCTACCCTTTGCGTCATTCAAAGTTGGAAAAGAAAACAGTTAACATCTGACCAGTATCTGAGAATCTAGTTATTGAATGAGACTTTATCATTCCATCACAGCTGAATTTGATCCAATGTTGCTTATGCCATTTCTTGTTTTTATAATAATGAAGCATTTTATAATCTTAAGATATCAAAATTAACCATTAAACACAGATAGAGCAGTAAGTTTCAACTGCAACAATGATATAAATTGACATACACATTAAAGTAGTCTTGAAATTGAAAGGAACAAAACATGGATACACCAACAGGAATTTTTAGAAAAACAGTAAATTTCTGAAACAGTAAAATATGACAACCTCCCAATACAGAAATACACAAGTAAATAAAATGGATATTGACCTTGTATCTGTTACCTAGAGTTGTTACCATATACCCTGGTTTTACCTGGACCTGGACCGACGTTTTCGGCTGTCTGAACGTGATCTTCGCTTTCTACTTCTTGAATGTGATCGTTTTTGACTGCCTGGCGGAGATCGCTTCGGACTGCCTGAACGAGATCGCTTCGGACTGCCTGAACGAGATCGCTTCTGACTGCTTGACCGAGATCGTTTCCTACTGCCAGACCGCGACTGTCTGCTACTAGATCTAGATTGTCCAGAATCTGATTGGGACCTAGATCTTGAACTAGATTTCTTGGACTTGACTGATCTGGATCTTGAGCGTGAAGCAGAGCTAGAGCTAGAGGAACTGGAACTTGATGAACGATATGTAGAATTCTTATGAGAAGAAGAGCTAGAATCAATTTTTTTCTTGTCCTCATCATCACTGTCCAATTGATATTTGGATATGTCTCCTTGATCTTCTTCCTCCTAAGTGTAAAAAAAAAAAAATTCAAATTGACAAGAGTATTAGAAACATTTCCTTATTTCATTTTAGGTCAAATTTCTGCAATAAATTTAATTCATTCCTTTATAAAGCTGAATGCTATCAATCTAAAATACAGCAATAAATAATGTTAATATAGCTATTGATAATCTAATATTTTTAAAAAGAATAAAGATAATTTGAGCATCTTATTTGATTTTTGTGCTAATTGAGAGATTAATTAATTTAATTTAGGTAGGTTTCTGATTTCATTTCGGAAATAACACTACCCCTAAACAAATAATATAGATCTTTTATTCTGAGACCATGAATAAATAGTGCTTGATCAATAGAGATAACATTCTTGTTTAAAATCTAACCTCATCAGAATCTAGCTTGTATTTAGATATATCACCATCATCATCATCATCATCATCCTCTTCCCCCTGCGCCACCTCCCGTTCACCAGTATTTGTTTTGCTTCCACTTCCATTGCTAATTTCATCTGTACTATTTCTTGAACGCCTGAATTTTTTCTTTTTCCTTCCAAACTGCAAAAGACAACATTAACAGTATTTTTAAAAACTTAGTGAATAGGCTTTTCATAGAATGGTGACCTCAAGTCGAAGAATTTTAGCAATCCTGAGTCAAAATAACAGCATGTCTGCCTCTGAGATATTACAAAGAAAAGTTGAATTTAAAGATAAATTTTAAAAGTCTATGCCCTACCTCATCATACTCATCATCTGATTCCTCTCGTCTGTTATATTCAACAACCTCATCTCTTTCCATGTAACCTCCACCAAAGCCAGTGCGCTGCTCCACCCTGCCATACTTGGGAGCATTACACATATTGCAGGTCATTCGTCTAGCCCAGTTCACATTGCCACAGCTATGATAAATCAATAAATGTGGCTACTATTAGTGTTAGTAACAATGACATCAAAGATAACATTTGTTTGTTTTGTTTTGTTTCATGCAAATTCAATAAATTAATTCATTTGATCTTCTGGAGCAATTACCTAAAGTTTAAGATATTAACTCATTCCCGACTGCAGTGCTACTTCCTTAAACAATTTATATACCTAGGACAACCGAAGTAACTCCATTTTGCAACTGACTTACACTTGTAAAATATTTTTTAAAGCTGCTAAATATTAATTAATATAAATGCATCCAAAAATGGATAAGGTATAATAAAAAATATAACATGGATGGGGAACAAATTATATCAATTTTTTCACCTCGAATTAACAATTTCTAGATATAGATGCATCGTACTAAAGCACAAATAGATTGAAAATGAAACAAGATAAGAACTTCCAGTTTTTAAAATGGAAAAACACAGACTCATGACATCACCAGAAGTCTCGAGAGATGCGTGATTTGGTTGCTGTTTTTCCATAAAATGAGAGAGGTGTGTCACTAAGTTACAGGGGGCATCGGTCTGAACCCCCGATTGAAGCAATTAGTAGCAACCATTCAGGTGTGCGTTAATATGACTTAAATGTGTCTATTTATTTTCAAATACAAATAGGAAACAAATTGTTCATTATAGTACTAAAAGTATAAGTATCAAAACCTTTTACACTGCCAGTCCTCTGCACTAAAAAGCCCTTTGCTTTTTTCTGCCAACTGCTTGCCAATCTCAGTTCCACCTTTTTTGAAAACAGTGCCTTCTTTTCTGTCTGGAATAATATTTACGCAATTGTTTCTTTGACACAGATGGTTTTAGCTAATATTTTTGAAAGAATCACTTACAAGCAGGGACGTCAAGCCATAATAATATTTGAAAAAAGCCTGTTACAATAATTGAGTTTGACTACTTTTTTATCATTTTAAAGTAAAAATTGCAAAAATCCTAAAATCTTAATCTCAAATGCAACGCAGGAAAATTTTAGGTGTTAGTCAAGTCTAAATTGAGGTGATCATTTAATAAACTTGTAGTGCCAGTCTCTATGACAATGTCTGAGCTGGATAACTGCCATTAATTGGTAAAAAAAAAAGATCAATGGGTCTATATAATACATAACAGTATTAAGAGACAGAAACTCTAGTAAATCTGTTTATTTCAATGTGATCATACTCATTGTCCGTATTAAGTCATGTGCAAAAATAAATCCAACTAATACTAACAGCAATACAAATCAATATCTTTTTAATACCAAAAGCATAAAACTCTTACCACCAATAAATTACAAGACAAAAATGTTACATTTAAAAAAAAATTAAGTGGCTTATTATTAATCAAATTATTAATAAGTTACTGGCGCCATCTACCATAACCAATTAAAAATAACCAGCCGTTCTATCAATAAAGCTTGTATCTAATTAACAATATTATTACTACTTGCGACATACTTTTTCCACATTTGTTGCATTCAGGTCGTCGTGCAAAGTTGACATTTCCACATCTGTAAAGAAAACAATTCATAGTTATATATAAATTATAAATATAAGCTGTTTTTTATCAAAGAAGAAAAATATTTACACATTAAATTTGGTTACCGGAAATTTGATCAAAAGAAATTTCGTCGACGGTAAATTGATCGACGGTAATTTGATAGACCGGAAATTTGGTAGAATCAAACCCCCCATTGTCAACTGTTAAACATTTCCAAACCCCGCCCCCTATCATAATTAATGGACGGCCCCAAATTTCTATTTGAATGCATTACACTGTTATATTATATAGAATAGTGTGATCAAAAAGAAATTTGAAAAAATCGTGTGAACTGAAATTTTTTTTTCCTAAATCCAATCCCAGTTTTTCCGAGCATCTGTTATGGTTGATGTTCCGGTATTTTTTAGATTCGGGATCCTGTATCCACCCCCCACCCCCATTTTAATAAAAATAAAATTATCCACATGATTGTAGCCCTACGTATGCAAACACATATTTTTTGCACGTTATATGGTTTGTTCTTATTTGGATGAGTGATAAGTCCATTAGTGAATGCTTTTTGGCTATAGAATTTCACTGCTCTGATTGACATAAATGACATGACTTAAACTGCATTTTCTTATTAAAAGTATACTTACTTAAAGGTTAAGTTTTTATTACTTTACAAATTAAACCCTAACATTAGCGAGAGTTATGACAAACATACACATTGCCACTCGAGGAACGGTAACAGGGTACTTTCTGAGGGAAACTCAAGACCCACAACCAACGGGCACACTCTACAACCAACCACTTCAGTATCTTGCATTTGCTGATGACATAGCACTTCTAGGAAAAAGTACTTTATTGAATTAGAAGGCACATCTCTACAAGCAGGGCTGGAAGTTAACAACCAAAAAACAAAATACATGTCCATGATAAGAGAAGAACAAACAGATGAAGCAATTAAAATTAGAAACCAGACTTTTGAAAAAGTAAATCAAGTCAAATACCTAGGATCCTTGTTAAATGAAAGAAACGACTTACTAACAGAAATAAAAGATAGAATATTAGCCAGAAACAGTGCATACTTCAGTAGTCAGAAAATACTCAAAAGTAAAAACATGACAAGAGAAACAAAGAAAACTATTTATAAAACTGTAATCAGACCAGTTGTAACATGTGCAAGTGAAACTTGGACCCTAACAAAAACAGCAAAAAACCTATTAAACACATGGGAGAGGAAAGTTCTCAGGAAAATATATGGCCCAACAAAGGATGAATATGGATGGAGAATGCGAACCGAACATGAATTATACAGTCTCTATCAGGATCCCACGATAATAGCAGAAATAAAAAGAGGCAGGGCTACGCTGGGCAGGACACCTAGAGAGAATGCCAAATGACAGAAGAACGAAGAGGGTACATCACTAATACCCCAGAGGAAAAAGGCTCAAAGGCAGACCTAGGCTTAGGTGGATAGATGATGTAGAAAAAGCATCTGAAAGTCCAAGCATGGAAAAGAAAGGCATTAGTTAGGTCTGAGTGGAAGGAAGTGGTGAGGCAGGCCAAAGCCCTGCCCTACATGGGCTGTGGCTGTAGCGCCACAGGGATGGATGGATAAATTAAACCCTTCATGACCATAAGGTCAAGGGACATAATATAATGATAAAGTCTAAAATATTGACCAGATGAGTCAATAATATTTGTACTTGTAGCTGTAGTCCTAGACATCAGCACAGTAAAAAGATAAAGACTAAGACTACTAAGAGTAAGAAGTAAGACCAAGCGACAGAGAAGGTGGGTGTAACAGCTGCATCACGATAACCGATTAGAATATCAAATCGAATGCCAAATCATACCACAAAATTTAACTATGACAATGTCAACAATTTAAAATCATAAAATTCTGTAGTCGAGTGTGTGTAAGTAGCAAGTGTAAGATTTAGTGAACTATGACTAGAGACTAAGCCTAGATTAGGCTAGATCAAAGACGAATTAAATTGTAACGTCTTTAAAAAAATGTAATAAAATCTCACTTCGGATCTGGGCATATCCAGTCTCCTTCGTTTGGTTTAAAACGTTCTTTGGATGACATCTGCTATTCGGAACCCTAACTTAAGTGTCCGTAAAATTAAGTTATTTGGTACTTGGACTTTATAGGACGAGTCAATTAGTTGCAAGAAAAAATATTGCCTTTTTCTCATCACTGGCCTGGACATATGTGAAAACCAAAATTCTCAATGTTAATTTCTGGTTTCATTATATGGATAGTGCTTTACTTTTGCATTTATAATTTCATCCAATTAGATTTTAAATAAATATCAAAAATAATATTTTTGCACGAATGACTTTCATGTCTGATATAAAGTGTAAATTATGTAAATGCTAGTTTCAAGTAGTTTCAAACAAGGCTTTATTTTACAGAACCAACTGGCAAACTGAGTAAATTCACGGTGATGTCGCATTAGCAAGTGTAATATTTCTTCACTCTAAGACTGGCCTGCACAACATGCGGCCTGCGGGCCGCACTCCGCATGCCAGCTCCCACTTTGTGGCCCGCGAAGTAACGAAATATTATTATTATTTTCTTAATGGCTTTCCCCCTTGTCCTATTTTCTTTTGGCCCGCACAAGTCCTGTCCTTTGTTCTTTTGGCCCGTTTTTCATTAAGTATTACAGCCCACCTTACATTTTGAGTTGTGCATGCCTGCTCTAAGAACATAGACATAGACTAAAATGTGGCATAATGTTAATGCTGAATTTCACCAGTTAAAATAATGCAAACTATTTTTGTATAAATAAATCATTTTATATCGGGCGTATGGTAAACTTGCATTTAAATTGATTGGTAGTGGTCATCAAAAGGGTTTTACAGCTTCGGAACAAACTGGTGGAGTTGCTTAAGACTTAAGAGAAAAAAAAATCAAACATTGGACATACCTTTAGACATAAATGGGACGGTCAAGCCTGCTTATTTGTAAATGTTTGCCATCTTCATTTGGAACTGCAACCAATGCAAGAAAATATGATTTCCTACTTCATTACAGCTGAAAAGATTGTGTGACTCAACAAAAAAAAAAAAGCAAACAAACAAAAAGAATAAAGAACTAAAATAATTAAATAAGCGTATATCTAGGAATCGCCAAATACTTTCACAACTGAGAGATTCATGAATATGCATGATAATATTTATTTATTTTTGTGTTAAAATCTAATGATAAAAAATCTTTTGAGCTTTACTTCCAAGCAGCAGTAGCTCAAAGCAAAGATTATGGGTTGGTCCGAAATCCACTGATTCCTCGTATTTTTTAGAAAATTGTTTACGCTGCAGCTCATGAGGGATTAAACTTTAAAATTGAGCTTTAATTATTTTACATAGTTATGTATATTTTTCTACATTTCACCAAAATTAAATAATTATTATTTTGCAAAACTTGGAGACAAAATATAACGGGTAGCAAGATGTACAAGCTTGAGTAGCATTCATCATAATGCATGCATTGCTATGATCAGTGAGCCTTTATCAAAATGTGAAAACTTGAAGTGACAACATCTTTTATAATGTTACGTTATTAGATTATGTAGTATAACATTAAATTATTTAAATATTGAAAGAAATAGGCTTATTTAGTTCTCGGGGAGCAAGGTTTTCAGACTCTTGGCTGGAGATCGCATGCTTACTTTCATTTTTTAAAGATATTTTTTCATGGATTTAAGTATCTTTTTTGCACCGCCGGCGTCTCTACCTTTTGTAAACTTCGCCTAATTTGTTTGCCATGAACTAAGTTCAACGAACTGTCTCGGATGAGAGATCTTTTGTAGTCAATAAGTTTATTGCGGAGTTTGACATCCATCAATGACTTTGATAAGATGTAAAGCTGAAATGCATCTCCTGTAAGAATACTAAAAAATACGGAAATGGATGAATCACCAGAGAGTACGGAAACTTTCGAAAATTTGAGAAGACGTCATCATGTAGCAACACTAACAGACTCATCAACTGTTGATTCAACCGAGTTTAACAATGAAAGTCTCCCCGCAGCAATTTTTGCGAATGGCCTTTCAGAAGACCGTAACTTTTTGGATTTGGCACAACGTGAAGACAATGGAGGTCCAACAACAGCAAATGTCGGATTTCTCCCTCTTCGTCCAACCCTGTTAACTTCAATTAGACGAAACCACCCTTTTGTACCAAGATCAAGAGCCTCCATTGCATATGTTATTGTTGGAATCTTTTATTTGTTGATTACTTTATTAGTTCACTACAGAATGAACTTTTACCCTGATCCTAAAAATGATGAAAACTCAAAAGCTTATGAGTTTAGAGAGCATAATGCTCGCGGCCACCTGGATGTAATTGCTGGGCTTGGTCCTCGTGTTGCAGGTAGTGCAGCAAATGAGAAAGCAGAAAAATATATAATGGATACTGTTCAGATTATTAGAGCAAAGAAAACAAACAATATAATTTTTGATGTAAATGTTCAAACTGCAAGCGGTGGCTTCACACTGGATTTTATAAATACAGGTGTAGGACAATTCACTAGTGTATATCAAGATTTGAAAAATATTGTTGTACGAATATCTCCTGCAGATGGAACAGATGCTGATAGCAGTGTTCTTGTTAATTGTCATTATGACTCTGTCGTGGATAGTCCAGGTAATTTTCATCAACAGAACAACTACCAAGTGCAGGGCTTGTTTTTAAAAATTGGTTGCTTATTATTCAATTGTCAATAGTTAAAGCAGTGTTTTGGAACTTGTTTTGCACTGTGTCCCATCTCAATCTCATGACCTAAAAATGTTTTTTTTAAAGATTGAATTTCAAAATCCCAGCCTTTATATGCCTCTTTGAGATATTATATAATAAAAAAAAACTAAATTATTTTTTTTATTGCAGTAATTAAAAAAAAATAAGTGTCCTGTATAATATTGTCTCCTACCCTTCCCCGTTTAAAAAAAAAAATGTAATTTCATTTCTCATCTCAGAGACTAAATTTGTAAATGTCCCTAATAATCTTCAAATTGCCCCCCTTGAGCTTGGGGTGTATTTAGTTTATGCCCCGCATTGGGAATTATGACTTTACAGGACTCTCTTCTCTAATGATGGCTGGCAGGATTTTACAGTTCTTTACATTATTGTAGAAGTATTTTTCTTTACTCTGGTGAGTTGATAGCCCACAAATTGTAGATTTTCTTATTTAATTGATAATAGGTCCTGGGTGGCCGAGTGGTCTAAACTGAGTCAATCCCTAGCTATTGGACTGAGAGTTCAATCCCCAAAAAATGCCTAGACAGGCAAAAGCATCACCAGTTACCTTGGTGGATGGGACTCATTTACCTTGGATGGCAACTCATCTAAGAGAAGGCAAACTTCAACATCAAACCCATAGCCATAATGACATGGACACAATAAAAATTCCCACAACTCCTGCGATGTTGAATGCATTTTGAAGCACACAGGCACACTGCTGGTCATGTACTCCATCCTCGTCAATTTCCAGTTGTATTGACTAAGTCTTGAATGAGGCTGACGAATTGAGAAACTCTCCCTCACTTTAAACAAAATACAGCTCAGTCGAAAATTGTCTTGGTCATCTTCACATGCGAAGTATGAACAACAGTGGCAATATAGATAATGGCAGTTTGGTTTATTATATGTGCATATGTTTTGAATAATAAGTTTGCAACTGGTAGACCTATTTCAGCTTCTGAGACATGAACATTGATGATTTAATGCTTTTAAAAATGTTTTAATATTCGGATGTGCTAATGTTACTAAATTTTGAACAGATGATTATTCTGAATGATCATTGTTTTATCTAAAATTAGAAAATGCCATCAAAAGAAATGAGCTATCATCTTGTTCAACCCAATTTCTAAATATACAGGTGCTGGAGATGATGCTGCCAGCTGCTGTGTCATGTTGGAAATCATGAGATCCTTATCACAGCAGCCAGACTTAGACTTGATGCACAACATCATTTTCTTATTTAACAGTGCTGAGGAGAACATACTGCAGGTACTGCAATATATGTTGCTCTTTGAAATTTTATCAATTTAAAAAAGATCATTTGTACGTTTTTTTGTTATTGACATATAAGCTAAATTTGCCTATTCCAACATAGCATGATCCAATCTTATTTTATATAGTATTGTATTGATTTTAAGGCAATGAGATTTGATGCCTCTTAAGTTATTTAAGCACAGTAATTATTCTTTGTCATTAAATTATAATGTACATGTCATGTTCTTTTTAAATTGAAAAATATAATCAGCCTTTGTCTTATTTATAACTGAATGGGCTGATGAAATATGGCAATCTAAGTTGGTCTGATGTGGATTCAAATTAAAAAAAAAATCTCATTTTACAAGATTTTTATAAATTATTTATTTTCAAATAATTGTAATGGTGCCAATTTCTCATTATTTTTACACATTTAAAATAAACTATACATTAATGAAGTCATTCATTTTTATACTTTCAGACTAGCCATGCTTTCATTACTCAACATCACTGGGCTCCAAGTGTCAAGGCATTTGTCAATTTAGACTCAGCTGGTGCTGGAGGTTGGGAGATAGTGTTTCAAACAGGTGGGTACAAATTGTTACCAGTATCTCTAGATGGGTGGTGTGATATTATTTATAGGAAACTTACTAAAGATTCTAGGTACTCTTACTACTTAAGAATTACACTGTATGGGTAAAAAGGGTTTTCGGATCTTTTTTTTTAAAAAAATCTCTGCATCTCTCCATAAGTATAATTCATTCAGACATTTCTGTTTAAACACTGCTTCAATAGGGGCTTTTTCCAGGGCCAGGTTTCCTTTGTGGAGATCTTTCTCTATTATCTTCACCAGGTCTCTTTGGGTCATCTGCCATTTCCTTTTTCTTGGTTTATCAATACTGAATACCTGTTTGAGCTTGGTAACATTCTACAAATATGACCAAGCTTTTTATGAACTGGATTTGTGAGCGTGATTGTTTGTATGAAAGTTGTTGGTGAGATTGTGAGCGGTTTTTTAAAGGCCAAGTTGTGTTTGGTCGGGTATAAAAGGTTAGTTTGGGGAGTTAGTTCATGGACTTCAGTTTTGTTGAGGTATTGAGTTATTGTTATGGTGTGAAAAGGTGCAACTCCTCTTTAGTCAGTGAGATGAGAGTATGCTTTGCTGATCCTTACCTGATGTCTATGTCACAGTATTCACCTGTTGTGACATCGCTCTCTAGGTACTCCAGCTCTCTCACATCTTCAATGATTGTGTCCTCCACTCTGGTATGTTTTCTCTTGACGTGTGTTTCCTGGTACTGACTTAAATGCCTATGGTTCAACTGGTCTCTTTGTTTTTTCCTGGGCATCTTGGTATTAGCTGTACAGCAATCCTATTTCATCAGTGTAGTAGAGGTCATCAAGCCTCAAGTTCACTATCCTGGAAATTGTGAGAGGATGAATCCCTGCTTCACTTTAATTAAAATTGTGAAAGTTTCAAATGGCCATTGTGGACAAATGTGCATTAAATTTAAAATGCTAATTGAGTGATTTAATAATACTGTAGACTGCCATAGTGTTACCATAAGTCTTAGATGCTAAATATTTCAGAATGGAATAAATTATTTCTATTTAAGAGATGTATTTGTAAAATCTCTCAGGTCCAGAACATCCTTGGTTGATCAGAGCCTACATAGAAGCTGCACCATATCCCCATGCCTCTGTGGTGGGACAAGAAATATTCCAGACAGGTCTTGTTCCATCTGATACAGACTTCCGTATCTTCCGTGACTATGGGCATATTCCGGGTAAACACTTGAGATTGAATAAATTCTATAGTGTTGTTCAAAGGTTTCAAAGTATTATCATACATATGGATTATTGAATATAAATATATCTTCTCAAAAAATAAAATTCAATGTGCCAAATGTTAGACTTGTACCGGTACATCAGCCCAAATTATTATTTTTGTAATTTTATTTTATTTATTTTTTATTTTTTTGCTGGGTGTGGGGCAGGGTGCAAAATTATATTAAAATAATGTAAACAAGCTAAACATCTTTCTTATTAATATTTTAATTTATCATAAAAGCTCACTTATAGTTGTCAAATTTAATATATTGTTTTTACATTCAGGACTTTTTCGTAGATTAATTCGCTGGAAAAATGAAAAAAATGGTTAAAAACATTTTTTTAAAATTAATATACTTATAAGCATCATTCAACATTCAAAATAAACTCAAGTGATTAGTTATTGACGAACACTCAAACTTATTATCATTAAGTTTTATTTGCTTTCAGGAATTGATATTGCACATATAAAAAATGGATACGTTTACCATACAAAAAATGATAATCCATCACACATCCCTGCGGGTTCCATGCAAAGAGGAGGTCAGCTTTTCATTCATTAGTAGATTTTTTCCTAATCAATATGTCCGATTCTTTCATAATGATATTGTAGCATAAAATAATCCATTCATCACTGTGGTGCTTCAGCCCATGTAGGGTTTTGGTCTGCCTCACAACTTCCTTCCACTCAGACCTATCTGGCGCTCATTTCCATGCTTGGATCAACAGCTGCTGTACATCTTTTTCTCACCCGTCTAAGCTCAGGTCTGTCTTTGAACCGTTTTCCTCTGTCATTTGGTATTCCTCCTTAGTGTCCTGCCCAGCGTAGCCTGTCCATTTTTATTTCTGCTACTGGTGTGGGATCTTGATATAGACTCTACAATTCCTGGTTGGTTCGTATTCTCCATCCATATTCATCCTTTGTTGGTCAATATATTTTCCTGAGAACGTTTCTCTCCCATGTGTTTAATAGGTTTTCTGCCATTTTTATTAGGGTCCAAATTTCACATGCGTAAGTTACAACTGGTCTGACCAACCATAATCAATTTTCATTTATATAAAAAGTGGTTAACTTTATAACTATATATAAATTATAAAATGATATGTCACATTGCACTGGCTCACATCCTTCTAATCAAGTAATATGAAGAAAAACTTTCTTCGAATTTGAAGTTGTTCATACGGTCTGAAAAATCTGGGCCAATAAACTGAGACAATTATCTGATGTTTTTTACCCTACAATGCCCAGAAGGTGTGTCAATTGGTATACTTTTCCGGGCTACTATTTAGCAAAGCTCCGGGAAAGGTGGTGTGATGAGTTCAGTTCTTAAGCCCACAACAAAAGACAACTTTCAAATTCTTGGAACCTTGACCAGAGGCGTAGCAAGAGTGTTTGGCGCCTGGGACAAAATTCAGTTTAAAGCGCCCCCTTTTCTTTTTTCAATTCTCAAACCCATTATTTTCATCAATAAAATAATATCAAAGCACATTTTGGCCCCTCTCCCCCTTTCGCTACGCCTCTGAGCTTGACTGACCATTCTTTGGTGTCCCGAAAATAGCATATCTGGTTCGGGGATACTGCACCTTCTAATTTTCAATTTCCCTCAAAGATTGAGGCAAACTGTTCCATAATTTAGGTACTATAGCTTCAAAAGAGCGCTCTCCATATGATTGCTCTCCATATGACTTCTTTCTGTGTCCATCCAAACTGGGAACTCTCAGTAAGGACTATGTTGAAGTGTGCCGGTTCTTTAAGAACACATGTTTAGAAATCAGTTCTTTAAGATAATCAGGTGCAAAGCCTACTATACAGCTGTACACCAGGGACAGAATTTTTTCTCAATGCATGTAAAAGATCAGCAGTAGCTGGGAATCGAAGCATGGAAAAGAAAAGCACCAGTTAGGTATGAGTAGAAGGATGTGGTGAGGCATGCCAAAGCACTACATCGGCTGTAGTGCCTCAGGGATGGATGGCGTGATTACCAGAAGAACAGGGGGAGGGGGGGGGGGGTTAAAACAGGAAATAAAAAAAAAAAAAGCATCAAAATTACGCTCAATGAATTGATTTTTAAAAAATGCCAATGAAATAGTTCAAATCAATTGTTTTTATTTTTTGGATATTCATATAACTGTGCAGAAGTTGAAAATAAGTAAAGGAAATAATTTTTAAAAATATAATTTTATGTACAGAAAAGTATGAATGGCTAAAATAATAAGTAAGAGAGAAAAGACTATTATTCTTGGGTAAAATTAAATTCTTACAAATCCTGGAGTGTCTTCACTGTTAGTTTCAACAGTCACATTAAATTTTCTTACCTCAGTTATAAATGATGAATTAATTACTATGTTTATAAAGACCTTTTCATTATTTTTGCAGGAGAAAATATCTTGGCTACACTAAAAAATCTGGCCAGCAGTACAAAATTGACTGACCCCGGAGAAGACAAGCATGGCTCAATGGTGTTTTTTGACTTCCTGGGATTCTTTATGATAGCATATCCACAGCGAATGGCAAACATCTTGAATTTTACCACCTTTGTATATGTTTACATTGTGTTTGCCAAGAAACTTATGAGGGACAGGTCATCAGGTAACCCCTTAACACTTGTTGCAAAATAAAAAATGTTGTTCACGTTGATAGATAAAGACATGCGCTCTGTATAGTTATGCATTCAGTCATATAAATTGTGGCTAAGTTTTATTTGGGATGAAAGTGCAAATATCTTCTTTGTTTTGTTTTGTTTTGTTTTTTTACAATATTATGATGTATATTATTTTTATCATTATAGTTAAGCTATTTATTCATGTATTTAGTAGTTATAAAGAAAACATTCAACTACACCAGCATTCATTTTTAACATAACTTTTTCCCATTTAAAAACCAGCTGTTTTAAATTTTGTTGACTTATTTTTTAATTTCGCTTCATTCATTCTGCAATATATTCCATTTTCACAGCAGCTTTGAGGGATTCAGTCCAGTTAACTGTTGTTGGAATTCTGGTTATGCTTACAACCTGGGCTATCACCATCCTGGTCCCGATGGGCATTGCAGTCTTTCTCACAGCTATTGGACGAAGCCTCAGCTACTACAGTCACAATCTGAATATCATCTGGCTCTTCATGCTGCCATCTGTGACTGGTGCCTTGGCCTTTCATCTTATTCTGAAAAAAACTATTTTTAAGGTATACATTTATTTATTCTAATTATCCTTTTTTTTTTACCAGGCTGTCAATTGTCTAACATTTTTTTAAAATGGGTTGGTGATACTGTACCTGGGCTGAATGCTTATTGAGTATTGTATCCTGAAATCTGTCCTGTGCAATTTAAATTAAAGCTACTGGTGTCTGTAAAATTTGAATGATAAATTATAGATTAGATCAAATGTATATTTTCTAAATATATTAGTGTACCTTTGAAAATGGTAATAAGATCTCTATTTTATTTCCTAAATATGTATGGAAAAGGCTTGAAACCTAAGGAATTTTATTCATTTTTTCAGTTAACAGATGTCACTGCTGTGGTTTCCATGTTGCAAGATGTCAACATGATGTTGTGGTCTGTCATAATGGTGGCCATGACAACCAAAGGCTTAATGTCTGCATTCATTCCTCTATTACTTATACTATGGCCAGCTTTTTGTTACACTGTGCTCAGCCTTCTAGGCTTTAAGCCTACAAGTAAGTCTAGAGCTTACACAATCGTAGACTGTTTTTATCCTTGCAAGTGATTTAAACTCATTCCCGACGTTTATGACTAAATATGTCACTGACTAATTTGTGTAAATGCCCCCGGCACATAACAACACATCTCTCTCATTTTTATTTAAAAATAGCAACTAAATCTCACGTCCCTTGAGGTTTTTATTAATGGCGTGAATGTAATTAACCCCATAACTATCACAGCGGCGATCATATGCTGTTTTGCCCTTTGCTCTTGGTGTCACAGCCAATGCAATCGGCCGCTAACAAAATCATCATTCAATGCGAATGATTTAATGTATGTTTGTTAAGGGTAAATCCTTCTACATAAATGAGTTTACTTCCTTTTTCCCATTTTTTTTTTTTTTTCCATTTTTTTTCTTTGTTCGGGTGTCAAACTGGCTCACTTTTTACCTTTTACTTTCAGAAAATATATACTTGTAAAATTTGTCCTTTTTGACAAGCTTATGAAAAAGCTAAAAAATGGTTTGAGGCAAAAGAAATAATCATTAAGTTTACTTTCTTTTTTCCTTTTTTTTTTTTTTTTCCATTTTTTTTCTTTGATCGGGTGTCAAACTGGCTCACTTTTTACCTTGTACTTTCAGAAAATATATACTTGTAAAATTTGTCCTTTTTGACAAGCTTATGAAAAAGCTAAAAAATGGTTTGAGGCCAAAGAAATAATCATTTGACAGTTATAGGGTTTTAAAAACATGGAAGTTTCTATCTTATTACACTTTCAATATATGTATGCTTTAGTATGGCGCATCCATAGCTAGCAAGTGTTCCTCAGAGGTGTCGAAAAACAATTATTTTGGTCATTGTTAATTATTTGTTCACTGTTAATGTTATATTTTTATTAAACCTAATTCATTTCTGGATGCATTAATATCAATTAATATTTAGCATTTAAAATAAAAGTATTTTACATTTGTAAATCAATGGCAAAAGGGAGTTTCCTCCCTTATTCAGGTATATAAATTAAGTGCAGAAGTAGTGCTGCCATCAGGACGGAGTTAATTTCAGTCATCAACTAGATGGGTTTTTTTTATGTTTCCACACATAAGTTAAAGGTTGTTATTTTTTTTGTGTTGATACAAAGTTAAGCTAACCTTATTTTATATACATCTGCTAAGTTAGCTCTTATTTGATGCAACTTAAAAATGTATCTTTTTTTTTTTTTTTTTTTATTTTAAAATGTTTTTTTTTTTTTTTTTTTTTTTTTTTAAGGATTGTTGAGAGGAAAGCTTTATACACACAAATTTAACCACTATGGTTTAAAATTTTCTATAGAGATGTAACCTTTATAACACTAGTATTTTTAGAACACCACTAAGGCTCACGCTTGTTGTTTCAAAACTGATATTTATTAGGATAGCAAGTATAAAATTGTTTAATTCATGAGAGTGATTTAGGCCATAGACATGGTTTGATTTCATTTAGTCCTTAATAATAGAATTTTAACTTAAATGTTTCAGGTATTTTCTACAATCTTGTGTCTTCATTCATCCCAAGCCTTTTTATTGTGTATATGGTCTACACCTTGCTAATGTTCCTTATACCCATTATGGGCAGGTCAGGCTTGGAAACCTCACCTGACTTGCTCATTTCTGGACTCTCTGGTTTAGTTATTATGGTGTGTCTACCTTTTCAGGTAGGCTACTTGGTATTTTGCTACCATTGACTTAATTATATATAGAATTAATGGCATCGGGATAGAGGTTGAGATTAAACTTCTAGTTTGAGGCTTTTCGTTTTGAAAGCACTGCTTGTTTTTGTGGCGCTGTCTTTAGACACAACAGTGAAAGTCATATAGGGTGGTGGTTCTGAACTGGTTTCCCTAGGTTAATATATATTTTTTTATCTGTGACTGTAATGAAATCATGCAACATTGACTTCACCAGATTGGTTTTGTGTACACACACAACCGTGTGAGTCGTGTCATTTCCACAACCAGTGCTGTCATCCTCCTGGGCCTGGCAGCCATCATCTTTACCCCTGCTGGGTTCCCCTATTCTTCCAATTGTAAAGATCCTTCAATGCAGAGATGCATGCTGGTGGTAAGTTTTTCTTCAAGAAATGAGTCATCATTTATGGTATAAAGACAATAGCCATCATTTTAAAAAGTATAGTGTAAGTTTGCAGGAGATTTAAAATCACAGACATTCCTTTATTATTTTACTCAAAGGTAAAGTAAATGTGATATTAAAAATATATTTGGTATACGTTTAAAACGAAGTTTAACTAAGTTATTGTGCCTGGCCAATTATTTGCAGCATTTTGATAGGAGATTTCATGGTGTCAGTGGCAAAGTCACTTACACAGACTCAAGCATTTGGTATAAACCTATGGATTTTCTGGGTGCCCAAATGATGGAGCAAAATGCACCATGGCTTTTAGCAAAGGCCAAAAAAGCTACATGTGATGGAGTTTACTGCGGAAGACCTTACCTCTATCCTTTTTTACCTCATGTGGATGCGAGGTAAACTTTTTTTTTCTTTTGATACTGATGAACAAAATCCACATGAAAATAAATTAAAGGCAGACATCTTGTATAATTGGAAATGCTTGTTTACATTTATTGATCTAAACTAAAATACAAGTCAAATGTTTTGTAACATTTTGGTAAGGTAATAGATTGGTGTTTCCCAAAGTGGTGGGCCACACATCAGAAAAGAATCTGAATTCCATTTTTAACATTTACCATCTTATACACAATTTATTCTGAAAGCTATTAGTTTGATTCCTTTTAATAAAGGCTATTTTTTTTAAAAATAACTCTTTGCATATGTTCATACTGGCTTTCAACGTGACTCTATGAGTTTAGTGCTGATGATTTTGTTCAGCAAGACAAGTCTTTTAAATTTAGTTGTTGGTCTTTTCTCATTTTAGTTATACATAAAAAGTAATTTAAAAATTTAAAAAATAATAATAATTATGTGACATTGTGAAACGCTCAATCATTTATTCATCCATTGGTAATGAATAAGATGGGGCATAACTGTTATTTTTTGAGAAGTCGCGATTGAATTTCTAGACTTTCGGTTCTGGAGGATTCTAACTCCCTCACCGTAAATATAACGATCGACTGTAACTGGCTGACTTATTTATGAGGCTTACCAGACTAACAGGAGCCCTACAAGACATAACAGATTTGTCACTGTGTGTGTATGGATTAATAATATTTTTACCTTTCTAGTTTTATACTTTTCACTTGCTGTAAGTTAATATAGTTTTTATTTCTGTATATTTGGTTTTGTATTTTTGTATCAATTTAATAGTATAATTAAAGGGATTATCATTAATATCACTAGCTTTGGTATTATTTTTCTTTGTATACTGGTTTTAAGTCCATTTTTAATTATTGTTCATCTAACCAGCCTAATTTTAAAACTGCAGATTAAGTTTGTTAAACCTTACAATATATATATGCCTTTTTTTTTTGTTGGCAACATAAATATTTTTCATGCACAAATTTGAACATGGTCAAAAACAAACGAAAATCACAGTAGCCAAGAGTTAATATAAATAGTACCGGTTTGCATTAAATTTAGGAATTCTGTATGCATTTCAACAGAAAAACATTTGACTTCCCTGCATCACATCTGAACTTGACCAGAGTGGTCATTGACTTGAAAGAAAGGATTGTTGAAGATTCCACTGTCCGGCTAACTTTTGCAATGACTGGTAACTTATTTTATTTCAACTAGCAAATACATCCGTTGCACCAGTATATGTCTGCATTTTTAGAAGAAGAGACATTAGCATCTCAGAAGATATTCTTTATGATTAAGTATTATATAAACTGGCTCATTTCACTCATCTTCCCAGCGTCAGCCAGGAAAATAACAAAACTTAAAAGTGATTGCAGTTACTGTTACTTGCTTTAATTAAACTTAATATTTAAGTGAAACTGTAGGCATTTGATTTTGTTTACATTTTTACTAGAGCTCCATATCTTCTAATGTATGTATATATATATATATATATATATAGAGAGAGAGAGAGAGAGAGGGGGGGGTGCTATATATTAGAAGATATGACGCATTGTTGCCAGGATGAAAATGGAAGGCATATTGCGCTACCTGCTATTGCAAAGTCTCAAATTCTGCTAATTTTCCTCTCAAAGAAAAATGTTCCTGAAAAAAGGACACAGACAAAAATAACTAACATGTCAGCAGGAAGCCTTTTATGTGTTCATATTTATTTTATATTGTTTTACTCTTGTTTGTTCGCTGATGAAGGCTTCTTGCCAACATGTTTTTTGTTTTGTTGCGGTCTTTATTTTCAGGTTTTCCCATACTTTGTTTTACTCATTACCTGTTAGTCATGGTATAAGTGTTAAGTGTAGTGAAGATTTTTGGGAGGACATTTTTTGAACTGCCAGTTGCTGTAATAAAGAACTGTTATAACATTCATTGAATGTTGTTGTTACTCTCAAGTGTGGTTGTGTTGTAGTAAAGTTAGACAATGGTGCCAATGATAAGAAAGAAAGTTGTAACATTTTGAAGCACAGATCTTCCTTCTGATTTTTCATTGTTGTATTTTTACAACACTGTAATGAGTTTTAACATTGTAAGAACATTTTTTTTTTTTTTTTTTTCAAAATTTTTTTTAATTGTTTATTTTCTTTTTTTTTTTTTTTTTTTTTTTTTTTAAAATATTTTATTTTTTTTTAATTTTTTAGGTTTTTTTTTTTTTTTTTTTTTTCAAAATTTTTTATAAGTGCTTAGTCAGTAGCATCAGGAATGATATGAGTGTTGGAATCACCGTTGTCAAATTTAGATGTTGGGGCCAATAGATGTGGTCATCTATAAAACGTTTATGACCCATCCCTGATTTCCTAGCTTCATGGTGAAAGAAATTTTGAGAATCAAAACAAAAAAATAATTTTTATTTTAAAAATTGATGCTTGGAATTAAAATTGAAATTCAAAGTCATCTGTGACCATATTCAATACAAAGTTTTAGACTTAGTACTTTTTTTTTAGACTTTGTCCCATGTTATAAATGTTCCAGAATTATCAGTTTCAATGTTGATAAAAATAATCATCAATTAAAATTGGATGTTTAAAACTGTTGATCAGAATATCTCCAGTCAAAAACTAATTATCTGCATATGCTGTATGAGAACAAGACAACTGTGTTATAATGTTTAAAGAATTTTTGTTTTCTCTCTCAGGCCCAAGTCATGTCACCATTTTCATATCTGAGTTACCATTGGCAAAGGTGAAATTTTGGACTTTTGGTAACAACATTCCAGTTGAGGCGGTAACTCTACCCTTGATCAGATACACAACATTTTTTATTTACTACTCTCACGGGGGCCCTGCCAATTCCACCTGGAATTTTTCAATTGACATAAATGTAAGTGTCTGTCATCAAAGAGGCTCACTGAAAACTATATAAGTTAACAAGTTCTACAAAAGAGCTAAGAAATAGTACTCAATAAGAGTAAAAACAGTTCACAACAAGAGTTAATATTGAATACCAAAAGCGCTGTGAGATTATTCACAAAATTTTAATTTAAATCAATAGTTGATTCAAAGTTGAAATATAAAGATCAACATTGTTGCAGCTGTAATCTCTTTACACCTTTTCCTATTTGATCCAACTGAAAAGTTCAGGAGGCATTGATGAGAAATGCAACAATTCTGAAATATACATTTTTATAAATCTGTCGTGAAAAAATTAATATAGTCGAATAAAGACTTAGCTGTAAATTTTTTTTATATTATGCACCATTATTTCTTGTAACTGTTGCAAAACTGATTTGGAAATCGAAAACCTTAATACTGTAAGTGTTAATTTTAATTTTTCAATCCTTACTGGTGAGATAATTTTTTTAATTTCTGTGTATAATCCTAACTGCTAGACTTGTATTTCAGATTTTAAAAAAGCCTTAAAATATTATTTCATAGAATTGACTACTTGTTCAAACTACACTTAAAATATCACACTGCAAAGATCTTTATTCAATGGAAAAAAAATGAAGAACAGTATATTACTACTATTATTTAAAAATTAAAACCTTACAATTTTTATCATAATTCCTTTTCCTTGTGATGTAACATTTCCCACAATTAAATGTCTTTGTTCACAAGGTGGACAGAAACAAGTCTGTCAATAGTTCTTTGGTCAGAATGGGTTTCGCTGGACATTATTTACATGGACCACACCAGGTGGGTTTGTTGTTTATTGTGGATTGTAAGATTGGCCTTGTGCTAGACAGCATTTGATTGCTGACACTGGCATGCACTACTTATACTCTGGTCACTAGGAATATTTCTGCATTTGACAACCCAAAAATCATGTTTTGAAGAGCTATTAAAATTTGTGTTTAAAAGTTCAGTATTACAAGCATGCACGATCTTATTTTAATCATAAATTTTTAATTAGAAATTAGAATATACTCTGATAACGACTCCACATCCCTATCCTTTACACTCTTTTCCCCTACTACATTTTTGGTCTTGTCTGGTTTCCCCCACCCTGTGTTTCTTGCTTTCTTTACCCCTACCTACTTGACTCTTACCCCATTACATTCCACAAATTTATTTTCATGTTGTGTTTAGTTTAATGTATTTTTTTAATGTGCCTAATTAGCCCTACCTACTTGACTCTGGATAATTAAAGAATTGTACCTTATTTGTAAAGATATCCAGAATGTTTTTCTTAAATTTGTATTTTACTATCATAAATTGGTTGTCATAATCATAAAGCATCAAATTCTTATTTTTTCCATTTAAATCAGATATCTCCTGATCTGTTTATGCTTGAACAAGAGCTTCCAGCTTGGATGACAGCTAGTCGTTGGTCTGCCACTTATGACGAATACATATTTTGAATGTAGCAGCATTAATGACAGCATTTGCCCGATTATGAACATTAGTCCTATTAAATTTTATACACTTATTTAACTTATTTAAATAAACTTCATTTCAGATCATAAATTATTATTTTCTATCCAAATAAACTTTGTTTAAATGTATTTTACCCATTCATTTTAAATGAAACCAAAGCCTAGCATTTGGAAGATTTTTGCTATTTAAAAAAAAAAAAAGAATAATTATATAAAAATCAAACTAATCACTAATGTTAGAGATTCCAAACTGTCAAATGACAATTAAAGAACACCAAAGCTTAAGTGGCAAAGGTGTTATTATCTTTGATAATATACAATTAAGTTTACATTAATTTTTTTAATGTAACAGAAGGAAATATAAAATTTCCCATGTTTTCTAAATTAAATTTAAAAAGGTTTTTTTACTTTGCTAAGTTACCCTTTTGGAATGTTCTGTTTGTGACTTTCACAATAAAATTATCTTCCTCATTATTATTGATATTTAAACTGCCATATAATTGTCTTATAGTCATATATTTGTTGGGTTTTTTTTTATTTTTTTTTTTTCAAGACGTAATAACAAATATTTACATTGTACTTTCATCAAATAAC